AAATTAAAATTTTACCCTTACAGACGGCAGTAATGCGAATAAACCAGCCGCAAGATCATGGGTTCGAGTCCCACGGCCAGTGTACTTTTTTTTATTTCTTTTTCATTCTTTTTTTTATAAGTTGTATATTTTTTTTACGTTACTTTCAGTTAGTTGTTGTTGAATTTTTAACAAAATTCATCTCTAAAAATTAAAATTAACTAATAGTAAAAGATGAAATGTGATATAAAATAAAGCAAATGAAAATAAAATAAAGTAAAATTAAATATATAAATAAAATAAAATAAAAAAATATAAAACAAATAATAAAAACAAAAAATTTTTCGCAATCGCTCCAACCGAGTATCGAACCTGGCAGCTACAGGCTTGTAGTTTGCAACTCTCACCACTCGGCTACCGCGTACGCGAAACCCGACTGCTTCGTTTGCTTACTTGTACAAAAGACAACAACTGGCCGTTTTTACCAGTGTTGTCATCGAAAATTCCCCGGATCCGAGTTAATTCCCAAAAATTGTTAAAGCAAATTAAGGCTGGTTATGCAAATAAGCGAGCCCGTTTGTCTACCGTATTAAGATGTTAACACAAATTTTTGTTTTGTATTACCAAACTATAAAAAAGCATCTGCGACGTGCAGACTGAAAGCGTATTTGAACGAAAAACCTGCCAAGCAAAAATCTATTTAATGTAAACAAGTCCCTCGCTGCCTCCCTTTTTCAATAGTTTCGAACTAGTTCAAAATTCGCCAGATGAGATCTAGTTCGTTCTGCATCCCTTTTTCTATAGTTTTGAAGCAGTTATAAATTCGTCATTTTAGATATAGATTTCTAAAATTGTTTTTTAAAAGTACCACATATCGTACACGCGTCGCTTACGCTCGTTTAGCACCTGCTAACTCTCTGCCCATGCCTGTTTATGAATAATTCGTTGACGGTGGGCTCGATAACAGCTAGTATGCCATGTTAAGAAGGCTTATCCAACTACACAATAATTGAGAGAGCCCTCGTACATATGTACATATGTGTATACATTAGGCTGGTTCAATTTTTATTTTAATAAATCGCATGGTGTTTCCTGATTCTGCAGATAATTCTAAGAGAAAGTATAGAAAAAACCATGGGTTGGAAATGAGTTTCGAGCCTGCGCACTTTTAATAGAAAAAATTACCTTTTCACGACATTAAACTTTTTAACATTTTCTTAGAACTTTTGTATATAGAGGTTTACGCCGACAGGCTTTGCGGCGGCGGCGACGCCGGCGCGTCTGGAAACGCCGGCGCTACTGCCCATAAGGTAGATTGCAAAGAGCCATGAGGCTTCTAATCTTATGTCATCAGTTTATAATTCTATTTAATTCATTCATTGAATTCAAATGTTGAGTGACTGCTGCTGATGGATGGGCGAACACAAGAAAGTCTATATAGTATATACATTAGGTTTCCCATCGAAAACGTTTTTTTTTTTTTGAAAATTTAAAGACCCTAACCCCTAATTTGATCCGATTTTATGAGAAATATTATTGCCTATTTTTATAGATTTTTTAAAGGCCATTTAGAGGTCGCGGCCTGTCGACATAGTTTAGAAAATACGATTTTCTAGATTCATGAGTTTTTGAATGACTATTTTTGCTTGAATTTCAAAGAATTTTTAAAATTTTGACCATCGATAATTTCCACAATTTGAAAATATATAGTACTAACGTACAAAAAAACGATTTTCGATGGGCACCCTAATATATATACATGTACTCTACAAATCCGTATGTACTATTTCAATTTAAAGAAATAAAAACATTTAAAGGTTAAGTTATTGGGGTAATTTATGTCGCTATCAAGAAATGTTTGCAATAAGCTTATCAACCGTTATGTTAAATTACGGAGTTCTTACGATTTTCGCGGGTTATATATTGAAAATAAGGTCGGCCTACTTTGTTCCAAAAGTTTAACCCATCAACTGCCAGCAGAACGGGCCTTTTTGACCCACTGTTTGAAAAATGGCTTATAAATAGTTAAAATTTCCACTAATATATTAAGCGCCAAATTTTTCTAAACAGAACAGAATGTAATGCAAAATAACAGTAATTTTTACCAAAAAGGGGGACTTTAACTCTGTGTAGAAAATATTGCGATGCCCGGTAGTAAAACCTTCCTGGGGTTTGTCCACTACTTAGGAATACTAACGTAATTTTCACACAGCCTCCTAGTTTTTGTATACGTCTGTTGGACCCCAGAATAAAGTAACTTACGAATGCAAAAATTAGCATAAAAAGTGTTTGCTTTTTATTAAAATTCTGATTAAAATATTTAAAAAAACACACAGGAAAATCAACTAGTCTTTGTTTTATCTACAATAATTGAGGAGTTAGATGCAATAAGGGCGCTTCTGTTAAAACTGCTTTCTGGGATATTGGCGTTAAAGTTTTTGATGTGTATAACTTTCTTGTTGATTTAGTTTATAAAAAAGTAGTATTGTTGTAGTATTAAAAAAAATTTTCTACTGCGGAAAAAATCGTCAGATTACCAGTATTCGACCCTAATTTAACTGTAATAAACGCTTTCGATCGAAAAACGTGTTACCTATGTTTTTTTCTGAGTTACGCTTTTTTTGAAATGTTCAGTGGCCCAGACTATACAAAAAAAACTTCTTTTAAAAATGTAATTTTCATTTCGTAAAATAGTGTTTTTATACGAGTAGTATTTAGTTCCTTCAAACGATGTATTTCAATGTGCATACAACATGAAAATTTTGTACAAAATTCCTTAGGCGCCGAACGCCGCCGCCGCCGCGCCGTTATTTTCGTAACTCGGCGGCGGCGCGTGTGAAATAACAAAAAACGTCGGCGGCGGCGGCGTGGCCCGGCGGCGTATACCTCTACTGCACAGTGTGTCAGTCCAGGATATTCCGTAATGTGGCATCAGTCAAGTGCAACAATTGCCACTGGGCATGCTCAAGACTACGCACCACGCGTTATTGGACTAGGGACTATGAGGGCCCATGCTGTGTGCTCGGTCACAAATACCAACTGCGACCCCGCCCACTACAACGACAGGGCAACAGCCTTTTCAACAGCAAGCAGAGCACGTGGCGGCCAGGCAACATACCTAACGAACACCTCACATACCAATAAGTCTCCCTAGGCACACGAAGGTTTTACAATTTAACTACCCTGTGAATGTCCCGCACTGGGAAGGAGCAGACTAAGGTTCATGGACGCCGGAACCATTGGAGACGTGAGCTATAAAGTGGGCATAAAGATAAGGCAATTGCTAAAATTTTCCATTGCTGGTTAAACGAGATTCCTTGTGGTACCAAAACGGGCCCAATGATGGGCCTATGTCTGTCTACCAGTAGCCACTGTAACCTAACCTAATCTAATTATGTATTGTCCGTATTTCGAAATGATGATGAACTAGATTCAAGCATCCATATACATACATAGATTAAAGCTACTCTCACAACGTCTTACTTTCACATAATTTATGCGTATGAACAATTCTGTAATGATAACCCAAGGCGAAATTTTTTTTCTTAGTATTAGAACATTGCAGCATAGGAGATAAGGACTATGTAAGTATGTATGTACATTAGACTGCATCACCAAAAAAAGTTGCGGTTTTTCCGCCGGGATTACTATATTTATTATATTTTAAGACGTCCACCAAAATATTTCGTAAAAATATTAAGATCTAAGTGAGCGGGACCGATTTGAAAATACCTCCAAAAATGAAGTTTTTTATGAATAAAAATAGTTTCTTAAAGAACAATTTTTAAAAAGTCCCCTCAGAAGACAAATTGGAATAAGCTTAAAAAATCTGCATAAAAATATTTAAAAATCTTTTCAATGGAATCGTAAGAATGAGATTTTTGATGCTGTTTTTTTACTTTTTTCAAAGATTGATTTACGAAAAACTTGAATAACTGGACCAAAAATGTTCTGATTTAGACTTATGGGATCTCAGTAGAAAGGTATTTTCACACCGTTTTTATTTCTGGCCAAAAAAATCGTCATTCGTGACCCATCTTTTTTTTCGAATACCAAAGATCTTAATTCAACTTTGAATGAGGTTCGTTTCTCCTACCTTTCTCTTCCATCCTTTGAATAAGTTTATTAGCAAATAAATGAAAAGGGTGAGAAAATACCTTTCCAATGACACCTCTTAAGTCTAAATCGGAAGAGTTTAGGTTCAGTTATTCAGTCATCATCACGATTCCGTAAACATCATAAAGAAACTATTTTTATTCATAAAACCATTTTTGGAGGTATTTTCAAATAGGGCCAGCTCACTTAAATCTTAATCTTTTTCCGAAATATTTTGGTGGACGTCTTAAAATATAATAGATTTTATAATTCCAATGGAAAAATAGTACCGATTTTTTTTTGTATGGGGAGTGATGCAGTCTAATGTACATATATGTATGCATGTACATTGGGCGGGTTAATTTTGTTTACTATGCGTGTATAGCATAGGAAAATTCTACGTGTAACTCTAAGCAAATTTACCGAAGGAAACGTAGGTCTAAGATCAATTTTGGGTTTGCCAAATTGCGAAAATAGGTATCGAAGAAAATGTGAAAATTTTCACTGTGGCGCCTTCTGGTGGAAGTTTTAAGAAAAAGTTAAGTTAAAAATATGATTTATACAAAATTTATGCACTTCTTTACGACACTACAACAAAATGCTAAGAAACCTATTTTAGCAATTTGGCAAACTCCAAAATAATTTTGGACCTATGGTTTCTTCGGCAAATTTGCTTAGAATTACACGTAGAATCCTTCTGTGCTATACACGCATAGTAGAAAAAATGTCCAAGACAAATTGACCCTCCCTAATATACATATACATACAAATGTATAAAAAACAATAAAATACTGCAATGCAAGCGATACAATAAATAATAATTTGTGCGTATGTACATACGTATGTAAGTATATGTACATTTGTACATACTTATACATAGATAATCTACTGAACTATGCTTAAGTTGTGCTGCCCGGCGGCTTGGAAATATTAGTTTAGTCGCGCTATCACGGCATTCACTTGCATACGATTCGGTTAAAGCAAAATGCTACTCCGAGTGAAAAGATATCCGCCATTTTTGTGTGTGCACTTTACTTTAGTCCTTGTGTTATCCTTGTGCACTGCACAACGCTGGCCATATGATGATTACGATATTCAAGGTGGCGAAGTTGAAACAGAAAACGAGCCTTCTAAAAACATAGGTTCATATAATCTGCCAGATGGGTCTCTGGTTCGGCCTATGCCCAGGCTTGGGTCTTTACCGGTGCAATCGGATGAATTAATCGTACCGGGCTTGGGTGTAGTTCGTGGTAAAACAGGATACAAACTCATTAAAGGAAGACCAATAAATTCGTACCTTGGAGTGAAATATGGAGTTGTCCGTCCCGGTTTGGGACGCTTTCAAGTAAGTGAATGTTTTTAACCTCATGTACCATTAAATATATATACATACCATCAGATTCAAAATTTATACCTCCAAATATACAAAATACGTCGGTAACAAAAGCCATAATCCCTTTTTGATACACTAAGACACAGGGTACTAAATATGGGAAATTTTACCAATTTTGGGGCAAATATTAATTATAGCTAAACAAGTAGGTAAATGATTTAAAAAACATGAGTTTTTTTTAATAACGGGCATATAATATGCCACATTATTGCAGAAAAAACAAATGTTAACCCTTGAATACTGAAGGTTTTAAGAGGGCCACTTCTTAATTTGGGGTTTTATGCCGGTTTTTTATAATCGCGTAATATAACCTGAGGGGCTTGAATTTCCTAATATGCATACTGAAAATATAAAAGCAGCAACCTTTGGAGGAACAAAGCTATAAACGTCCTTTTGTTCATTTTACTGAGTTCTAAAGTGCAAACGGTAAATATGTAGTCCACTACTGACAGTATCAAGATTACCTACAAAAAAGCTGTTTTCTCAGAAATCTCATAAATCATAACTTCATATTTGGCAGAAAAACTCAAAATAGACATGTTTTTTTACGTATACGTACGGCATTGGTCACATCAGCTCAGTAACTGTTCCGATTGCACCTTCTGAACGCATATTTGGCAGAAAAACTCAAAATAGACATGTTTTTTTACGTATACGTACGGCATTCGTCATATCAGCTCAGTAACTATTCCGATTGCACCTTCTGAACGCGTTGTTGCGTATTTCTGACAACTCAGCAGTTGATTTTTTAGAAGATGGTAATATTTTTCTAATCATTTGAGACAACATGTTTGTGTACCTTCGACAATTGAATTTGACAGCTTATGTATCAAGACTTTCAAAAGACGCATAACAACAAACTCAATAGAATTCTAGATCTCATTTTTGTCAAAATTCGTTATCACCTACGGATAAGCATCATATTTCCTTGGTACTTAAATTAAATGCTTATGAATTCAATACAAGCGTTCAAGAGGAAAGACTAGCATTTAACTATAATAAATGTGATTTTTCTCGGGTTGATAACTCTTTAATTGAAGTTGACTGGGAAAAATTGTTCATAAGTTCGGACGTTGCCCAATGTTTTTCTATTTTTAAATCACAAGTGGTTGAGATCTGTCGCCTATATATCCCTTTAATTAAAAAAAGGCAGTACAAGCTTCCGTGGTACACACGTGAGCTAAAAAGTCTTAAAAATAAGCGTAATAAATTCTTTAGAAGCTTAAAAAACACAACAAAGAGGATGATTATGCAATGTATCAACATTACTCAAAAAAGTTCAATTGTTTGAATAAATTTCTATATAAGAATTATATTTTAAGTGTAGAATACAGTATTAAATCTAGGGTTGCCAGATTTTGAAACGGAGAAAGGAGTACATTAATATTTTCGATAGGAAAAAAGCAGTACATGACATAAGAAAGGAGTACAATTTTTTTTTAATTTTTTGTGCAATTTATTGTTACAAATTACCATTAATTAGGTAAAAACAAACAAAGATATCTTAAAACACTTTTCAAAGCAACAATAAATGTGAACAAGTAATTTTTACCAAAAAAAAAACCGACTTCAACTCTCATATAAAAAAAAAATATATATATATATATCTCATGGTCCACTGATCGGATCTTAACCAGATTAGTATGGGACCACCTCTGAGACACTACCTTTCCGATGCAAATATATATAGATTTTTATATGAGAGTTGAAGTCGGTTCTTTTTTGCTAAAAAATTACTTGTTAACTTTATTTATTTTCGATGGTCATATTATTGCCTTTTTATAATCAGGCAATATTAAAACAGAATTTTTCACCATCGAATAAACAGTGAGTTAAATATTTGCAAATTATTTTTATTTGCAAATAGCTTACGTATAAACATAGTAACACTTAACTTTGCTTACTAAGGGCCGGTTGTTCAATGTCTGATTAGCACAAATCGGAGGTAGAAGCTCGTTCAAAGTGTGATTGTGAAGTTCCACATATACACGTGCGCGAAGCTGTTGCGCTTGTTACGAGAACAGCCCAGCCAGCAAAAAAACCTAAAACTAATCCGAAAGCGGGAAAAAAGTGGATGAAACGCGGTGTGAGGACTAAGGCTTTCTGCTCATTGGTCGTCCAATCATAGTTGAGTCATAGTTATCGTCATGAAGCAACGATTACATGACGATTACACTTCTGCACACTTGGTCGTGATATTTCAATTCATTTGGCGTCTAAAAATTCACTTGGAGCAGGTATTTTCTGTTTTTTTTTGGTTGATATTTTCGCGAAATATTTACAAAAACCTGCAATTTTTTAAATATAGACTGTGCTGCAACATTTCTAGACGTAATTTTCCAGTAATATCTCTTCTTTTCTTTTCCTGGAATGTGTTTTGTGTATGCACACAGAGACTTAATACAATTTCGTCATATTTTATAGTTAAAACGCTCATATTTATTAAATTTTAATGCAATTATCCACTTTTTAATAATTTCCACAGATTTTATGCAAAAAAAATACTAATTTTTTATACAATTTTAATGCAAATATTAACTTTTTCACTAATTTTCCCCCATAAAATGTAAACAAACAATGCGTGCACAACGATTAGCAAACGACAGTGCCGTACTTATCCGTTTCTGCATCTTCTACGATTTGCCGATAACTAGCCGATAACGACAAGTGTGCAGATCTCCTTTGAAATGCTTGTGCTCGGCTCAAAATTTCAGGGCGAGACGTTAACGCAACTATGATTGGACGACAAGTGTGCAGATAGCCTAAATATCCGCGGAATTTAGCCCACACGAACACAAACCCCTACACC